CTAGTTCTTCATCATTTGTCTTCTCGGCATTATGCCTCAAACGGCATCGTAAAGTCCTTATAGAGTGGGGACTCAGTGTTTATAGCTGCCAATTGCAGGGCCTTCATCTATCCATGTTTGAAGCCGCGATTCTCACATCAGCAAATGTTATCAGCAAGCTTTTTGGTGACAACCCCATCATGTATTTGACATATATTTATTTAATTTTCAATTTGATTTATATGTTTAATGTGTATTTGAATGCCTATCTATTCGTTGGAGGAATATCTGTCATAATTTCTTTTTAAAATCTGAAATTGAAAGCCTTATCGATTTCAAAAACCAAAATTGATTAGTTTAATAAGACTGGCATAATATTTAGAGCCTACTAGGAAATTTGATTAAAATTCAATTCAGATCAGAAAAATTAAATTTTGATTAATTACCTTAAGCTTGATTAGTCAACTTAAGCCTTAATTAGCACCCTAAGCTAATCAAGCCTATATAAATGTAAAGATTAGTTGGTTTAATCATTTTGGCTCAAGAAATTTTGCTAGAATATCTAGAGAGGGAGAGAGTTCATCCTAGTACACAGAGAGAGACAGAGACAGAGAAAAGAAAGACTAGAGAATTTGAAGAAATTACAAGAAGACAAAAGAATTCTAACGTAGAGCTCAAGATTTTGCTTAATTTAGTATAATTGAAGACTTTAGTAAGTGATTAGCTCCCAATTTCTGAATTTAAGTCATCAAGGATGTGAACTCGAGAGATAATGTGATTAAATGTAAGAATTGAGTTAAGATTGTTAGAATTGATGTTAATTCATACATGCATGCATGGTTTTGAAGAGTTCTACCATTTTTTAACATGTTTTTGCTATTTAAGCTTAAATTGAAGGTTATATTATACATGCATCCATAATTCACAAGTTTTGAAGATGAATTTTAGGTTTTTGAAGTTTTGAAGGTTTGAGTTCCAATTGTGGAGAATTCATGAAGTTTTGTACATGGGGTTTGAAATGGGTTTTGTATTCATGTTTCTGAAAGTGTTTATGTGATTTAGAACATGTCATGCAAAGATTTTTGGCTTTGAACTTAAGTTCTGAAGTTTAAAATTAAGTTTTGGAAAATTCAGAATTCGATCTTATCGCTCAAGCGAATAAGTTACCGCTCGAACGCATAATTAGGACTTCCAGAATTTTTGCAGAAACATTTCATATAGCTCGAACGACCAAGTTATCGCTCAAGCACACGTATCATGCATCCAGTAGTTTTGTAGAGTTCTGTAGTTGGCTCGAGTGACCAAGTGACCACTCGAATGACTTCAGCTTATTTTGCACCTTGTCTCGAGCGATCACCAAGCCTAGATTCGGACTGTTCAGTACTTTTGTAGACCATGTGGACCGCTCAAGCGACCAATGTTGCGCTTGAACAAAGTGTCATGTGTTAGCATATTTTGAAAAGTCATGTTTTATCCATATTGGCATTCTCATCCCTTCTAAACATTCTTAGGAATGAATTGAGCCTCCTAATTGAATCTATCAGTTAGAATAAGACTTAAAAGAACTGCATAAGTTAAAGAATGATCCAGATAAGCAATGTGATCCAATGTGTATATGTTATGAATTGTGTAGGTTCATTCGCAAAGGCGTGTTGGCAACTAAATCATTGTGAGTAACATCTTAGTAAATATATTTTTATTTACTTTATTTTCTAAGTGTTACCAATGTGGTAAGTTTTCTGAACTTATGATTTTGTGCTATGAATGAGTATTTTATTTGTCTGATTCGTAAAAGATCTGTAAATGTGATTAACAAGACTTAAAGCATATGATTGGACCTAAGGTCGTTCTGTATATTTGAAATGGACTCAAGGTCGTTTTAAATATTTGATAAATCTGATTATCTTTTATGAGTTGACCAAATGGTCATTATACAGCTATAAATGATTGGACCCAAGGTCGTTCCGTTAAGTTATGATCAGTTCTATTCTGTACATCTCTTTATAGTCTGATATACTTCACTGGGCGTTAGCTCACTCCGTTATTTATATCTATGCAGGTGAGCAAAGGGATGTCCAGTTCTTGTGATTCGGTTATGTCTACCAAACCTTTGTGTATGTTGTGGAGCCCCTCACAAGCGAGGCTTTTGTTTTCTTTTGTTAGCCATGTATAGCCATGGTTGTACTTAAGTTTTGGGTTTGTATGAAAATGATCTTGTGAATGGTCTTGGACTTGTAATATCTTTTTGTACATGAATGGATGTGAGTTATTAACTAAGCAAGATGTTTTTGTTATGCCATATATGCACAGCTCATTGAATAAAATTTTTTAGTCTGCTTCCACTTCTTGCCCCCTGTATAACTAAACAAGTTTTGAATTATGTCTGAGGCCATAGGTAATCTCATAATTACTAACCAATTATGATCCTAACCTCTAGGGGTGGGTTTGGGTCATGACAGAGTGGTATAGAGCATAAGCTAATAACTCACACACTTGTCCAAATGAGCAATAAGGTGTCTAGAAAAGATTTAAGGTGTATCCACCTGATAAGAATATGTTTGTGTGCATTACGAATATGTGAATATATGATATATGAACTGTTGTGCCTATGTGTATATGTGCAATTCTTGTGTTAATTACAATGCATGTTTATATAGATAATAGTAAGAACAAAGGCTGATGACATAGAAGAGTCATCTACTACAATGCATGTTTATATAGATAATAGTAAGAACAAAGGCTGATGACATAGAAGAGTCATCTACTACCTATCTGGACAGAATGTAGAAAATGATCCAAGATATGTATGAAGCATTAAGCCAACAACAACAATAAGCACCTGCACCTCTGCCAACGCCTATTCCACATTCGGTACCAGAACATTAGGCAAATGACCGTGTAATCACTTTGACTAAAGTGTTTAAGAATATGAAGCCACCATTGTTCTGGTGAGGAGTGAATCTTTTGAAAGCCAAGGGGTGGGTTCTTAGCGTTAAGAAGTTGTTTGAAGTATTCTCGTGCACCGATGCACAAAAGGTTTAGTTGGAAGCATTTACTCGTGAGGACTAGGCCCGTAGTTAGTGGATGCTAGTGAGAGAGAAAAATGTGGGAGTTAGTTGGGTAAAATTTCTAGAGATATTCTATGAAAAGTACTTTCCTTAATGCATTAGAGATCAAAAGGTATCTATTTGAAGGGTTGGAGCAAAGGAACCAAACAACAGTAGAATACGAGGCACGATTCACTGAGTTAGCAAAGCGAGAAAGTTTGAGGTTGGACTTCGAAATACAATCCTAGAGAAAGTGAATGTTCTGAAACTGTTGAAGTATGTGGATGTTCTTGATTGGGTTTTAATGTCTGAAGCAAATTTGGCATCACGTGACTAACCATTTGAATGGAAGGGGAAGCGATATGATTCTTATTCTAATAAGGGATCATTATCTTCGAAAAAGCAAAATCGGGGAATATCTAGTACCTCTAATTCAACAAAAGATTATGCACCAACCTATAATGAGTATAGCAAGAAGCATTGGGAGTTTGCTACTGCACTTCTGGAGCATGTTTCAGATGTGGTAAGACACACATGGTCAAAGATTGTCCCCAAAATGAACAAAGAAATGGAAGGCCAACTACTAGTTCAACTGGATCGATCCCAATACCAGGAAACATTATTAGATCTGTTGCTACCAGAGATACACTAAGGCAAGAAAGCATTTTCGCACTCGTCCTAGGTGTTACACAGACTACTGAGTCCGCTGTCTCAGGTACCCTCTCTATTTGGAACCAAGGTACTTATGTGCTAATTGATTCGGGTTTGACACATTCTTTCGTATCTACTATTTTTGCGTATAGATTGAATAAACCCATGAAAACATTGCGTTATGTGTTTTGTGTATATGCTCCATCTGGGGAATATGTTTTGTGTTCATCTATATATCGTGCTTGTGAAATTCTTATTGGGAATGCTATGTTGTTTGTAGACTCATTCCCTTCTGACATTAGGCATTTTGATGTGATTTTGAAGATGAACTAGTTGTCTAAATATTGTGCTACTGTTGATTGTATGACAAAAAAGGGTTTTGTTTAGACCACCGGGACATAATGAATTTATGTTTGAGGGCACTACAAGAATTAACACTTTTGGCAACAAAAAAATTGGTCGCTAAAAGTCCATTTTTGGTCGGCAAAAGTTATCCGCGACCAAATTTTTTGGTCGCTATTTTGGTCGCCAATTGAGGGTCGGCAAAAGTAATTCGCGACCAAAATTTTGGTTGGTCGGCAAAAGTCAGATTTGCCGACTAAATTTTTGGTCGCGAAATATATCATTACCGCGACTAATTCATTTAGTCGCTAAAACACTTTGGTCGCGAAAAGTGATGTTTTCCCGACCACAAAGTTTGGTCGCCAATTATCACATTCAACGACCAAAAAGTTTGGTCGCCAATTGTGCCATTCCGCGACCAAAAATTTTGGTCGCCAATCATGACATTCCGCGACCAAAAAGTTTGGTCGCCAATCGTGACATTCCGCGACCAAATAGTTTGGTCGCCAATTGTGACATTCCACGACCAAAAAAGGTTTTGGTCGCCATTTGTTACTTTTCGCGACCAAATTTTTTGGTCGGCAAAAGTGAGTTTCCACGACCAAGAGCTATTTTGGTCGGCAATAGATGTATTTTTTGCGACCAAAACTCTTGGTCGACAATTGTCATTTTTTGCGAAAAAAAATTATTTATTTGTCGCGACTAATAAATTGGTCGCCAAAGCAGGAAAACAATACACTTGTAACTCCTAATAATTTATTCAATCCATAATAAACCTATAATTTTAAAGCATCACTCAAATTAACTAAATCATTAACATTCGACACAATACATAATTCATTAACATTCGATTTATGAAATTTCTGTCAAACAACCAGACATTGTTCCAATTCAAACTAAAACAACCAGACATCCCCACCATGGTGTTCCACCAGACATTGTTCACACAAAATAATGACAACCAAAGAATCCAACAACACCTTTCTAAACTGTCAAACAACCTACTTCCAAAATTTCTTAAATTTCCCAAAACACTAGTGTACATTATATACATCCTATTTATAGAACTACATTCCAATTCAAACTGAAACACCCTAGTTTTAGCAAGAACAAAAAGAAACAATTCTACGAGTAAATAATATGTGGAAGCTTTGACTAAAACAAGAACTCTGTGTCAGAAACTTCAAGGACATTGTGGACGCCAATAGGGTTCACACCTGGCCGGAAAGCATTTCCTTCAATATAGCTGTGACAACATTTAATCAATTAGCATTTCACCTAGTGTTGGGTAATTGCAATTTGCTTGTACTGATTGAAGATAGAAACTCACATTTCTTTCAAGAAAGTATGCTTATAGAATGCATCCGGGATGCTCCCAGTAAATTGATTATGATCTAGGTACCTGCAATGAAAGAAAGCTTAAGATGCTGTCCCATGCCTACCCAAAAAAAAAGATGCTGTCCCAGATACACAAAAGCACAAAGATGCAAAAAAAGGGGAAAAGCAAATTAAAGAAGGGAAAAAAAAGGCATTAATTGTGATAAAAACAACAGTTAACAAAGATGCTGTCCCAGTAATACTTTTTCCTTACTAATAACAAACAATGCTATGCTTCCTATAACAAAGATCTCATCCGTATGCTGTAGTATGCTAACAGTTTTTCATCAACAACAACAAATGAGTATATTTGCAGGTACATTAATAGGATTTTAATCAAATAATCGAAGTATTTGGTTGGTTACTACCCTTGCATTGAATGCAACAATGTATTGCATCTTGAAACAATCATTTTGAGGACATTTACCCAACCTGGTTTTGCAGTAAAGCTTCATCATTGAGCAAGAAATGGTTTGAATGTCATCAACACCCCGATTACTTCGATTACATTCAGGAGGAAGAAAACCATCTGGTCACCTGCATTCAGATGAACAAATACAACTAAATATAGATTTCAGAAGCAATAAAATGAAAAACACAATAATCATTGAAAAACAAATTTTTGGCAGATGTAAACGCTGGTTACGGAGTTACTGTGTTGTATTTATGAATCGGGCTGCTTTCAAATTGCATTATTAACAATTTTGGCAAAATCAATAGCTAACTCCATACTTTGTTTTGCAAAATAAGGATAAAAAGAGACATGGCATGGTTGAGTGATCAAATGAAGTAGGATAGATTTATTGAAACTAAAGAATCAAAGAATTACTTCAAACCAATAAAAGAATCAAAAGAAAATTTCCCAAATTATGAGGGAACACTTCAAAAAAGAGGGAACGTATTTGTTTATAGAAATAACAATGATGAGAAGGAGGAGACAGTGATTGTGGTAGTAGTGGTGGTGGTGGTGATATCATGATCTAATGAACTAAGCCATCGAAGGTAATGATTCAACAAAAATGTCACCCTTCTCAAAAAGTGGATGGATGTTAAGTAACTAATATTCACTAGAAATGTCATCTTTGTTCTATTAATTTAAAAGCCAATCTAATTGGCCAATAGACAATTCCTCAGTAATTCATAGAATGTCTAGAATAATTTGAAGAACCAAAAAAGTGGACCAATTTATTTTATCAAAAGCAGCTCATATTCTATAGGCTTTCTATTCTATGAAACTCATGACGAAAGAATCGTAATAACTTTAAGTTACAGCGATTGAGTTTGTTGTGTACTCTAAATCAAGTATATTTGGGTTTCAAATTACTCAAGTTGCCACCTTGTTACACAGCAACATGCAGACCACTAACAATCCCCAGACAAGGCAAGTTTTTTTCTTTTGAATTGGTATTGATTATTAAAAACATTTATGAAGCATTTGGACTACTAACAATCCCCAGACATCTATCCCTACAAACGTCAACAAGACTTAATGATCACAAGTATTTTATGCTTCACTGTTATATTATAAGAATCAAGACATTTGATTCTTCATTGTTAATGCCGTAAAATCTAAACTCGACCATTCACAACTTTGTAGGGATACAGAAATGGCCATTAATGGATGAAATTATGCCTGACATGGTAACCAACCTGCGAGGATCGTAGACGGTAACAGTACAATCAGCTCCTCCCACTGCAATACTAGTTGAAGAACTACAGACTGCATAGAAGATATCTCCAACAGAACCATATATCCTATGCACACAACCACCATTTTCTTTCATTCTCAAGTCCCATATGGAAAGCTGCAGTAATTCAAAAAGATGGAAAAATGCCAAAATGGGTAAACAAAGAAATAAGCTCAAATGTTAATTTTTTTTTAAAAATGTATACAAAATGAAAAGGCAAAACCTGGCAGCCTTCTGTGACGGCTAATATAGAACTATCATTTCCACTACACAAACTCTGCATAAAGCTTAATGAAGATGGATACCATAATCTGCAACACTGCTACATCAATGGCAATCAATGTTCTGAAAAAACTTACATATTCAAGCAATTCATAGGCAATTCAATGACAAGGTTTTTAGAGAATCAGAAGCTTTGAGATTGACTAGTGTCAAGACAAACATATAATTAGGATTATATATTTAGGACAATTATTTAGGATTCAATAAAGTTGACAATTTTTTAATCATACAATTAATAACACAAAACAAACATATAATTAGGATTATATATTTTTATATCTATTGCAAAACAAATGTGACAAGAGTGAGTTATTTACCCCACTAATTCAACTGGATAATTATTCCTACACTAATCATATGGATTATTAATCTTCTCACTATTAATCTCACTAATCAAATAAGACCTAAAAATTCATTTGAAATTTTGATTTATTAGGTTGAAAGTTAAGTTTGAACATATTTTAACATCCATGATACATTGTTTGATCCAATTTTTGAGTTTAGAGTTAGAAGAAGACATCAATTGTAGAGGAACAAGACCTCAATTCAAGAGATCATAATCAATGCATGAAAGTTCAAAGGTTAAAAAGGAAACAAACCTTTTGTTTAGGAATGGAAGGAGAAGTTTATGCCATTGCCCTTTTTTTTTTATAGGCAATGGACAAATTCTTTGTGCCTAACAATTTTGAGTTATAAGCTAAGATAGATTCAACTCTTCACATTCTTACTTAAAAGGGTGGTCAAAAGATTGATATCTAAAAAGGAAAATTTTATTCCAGTGGAAAGATGTCATTACTACAGACACCTTATTATAGAAAGATTTCTCTGATGTTAAAACAAATGTTAGTTTGACAGTTTAGTGTAACAATTGACTCATCCCACTACAAGAGTTAGTTTGACAGTTTCCTTCAACAGAAAAATGTGAAAACAATAGTTATGATCTGCTGGCAGTGTTACTAAAAGTCCGAAAGCAAGGTTCCAATACTGGTTGCCCATGCTGTAACAAAAATCTATAAGCTGAGGAACAGCCCAATAAGGAGCTAATTGATATTGTCTTGTAAATGAACCAGTGAACCAACTAGACGATAGAAGTACAGATACCTAACTCGAAAAAACTCATGAATCCAAATGATGTGAGCATGTGCATGCTTGCAAGTTACTCTAGAATACATAATTAAGATTGTGAATTACAAAAACTGTTTTCTCAGGAGGCCAATCAAAAAACTGAGCACATAAGAAATGAGTATTGGTGCGTTGAAACGGATGCAGTGCAAGAACCCTACAAGATTTAGGTAGTTAATGTTAGAATGTTTCATTACTTCCAAAGATGTCAAAAAATTTGTTTGGTTGACAAGAAGATAATATATACAAATTCAGTTATAACTTCTGGTTGGATAGGCAATAACAATGTTCAAACAATTCATCTCTTAGCTTCATCAATTTTGCTTTTTTTTTTCCTTTTTTTACTTGGGCAAGTTCACAGCCCTGTTTCCAAAACAGAAATAGATGGAACAAAGCAAGCAATGTTAAGTTGTTTATTAAAAAAGTCAAATTTTTTTTTTTCATATTGGCCACATACAACAGCAAACTATTATTTGTTTGTACGTTTTTACGAGGCTCATAGCTCTCCCTACTAAATGAAGTAATTACAGTAATGCTTTCACCACGTGGTTCTTAAATATCATTCAACAAGAATCGCAATACCTGAAGTTCATGTTCATTAAACATGCCAATCCAATCTTTCTCTATAATCTGTTGAAATCCCCTCATAAAATGGGAACTTTGTTGGCGTATCTGAAAATTATATCACGACATCATAATTACAGGAGAAAATGATCAAATTTGAAAACAAACTTAATAAATGAAAGAGGAAAACCCTTGCAACCTGAGAATTCAAACGATGGTTGGCTATAAGATGAATAAATGTAATGACATTCTCATTAGTAACACGTATGCTTTTCCCTCCAGGAAGCAACTCTGCTTCTGTTTGCTCTCCATATTCATTGTTCACAATAACAAAGTACAATTCCAACTTTGAAGTATCACCTTCATAATGCTGTACATCAAACAAAAGATAAATAAATAAATCAATAAATAACACGAAATTACACAGAACCACCCGATTGGCCATGAAATTTAGCCACAAAACAACAAAAGGTGATTATTCTAATTTCATCCTACCATTTGTGTACACTTCATTTTCTTCAGTGATTATTCTACGGGAGATTTTCTTGCCTTGTAAAATGCAATGGAAAACTGAAACTTTTCCATTTGCATGGACATCCAAAGATGTCAAAAAATTTGTTTGGTTGACAAGAAGATAATATATACAGATTCAGTTATAACTTCTGGTTGGATAGGCAATAACAATGTTCAAACAATTCATCTCTTAGCTTCATTAATTTTGCAAATCAATGAAGCATAAGATTTCACTAAAAACTATTGCTCAAAGAAGAGAGCAAGGGAGAGGGAGAAATATCACCTTTAAGAAAATAAGGTGGCGATATAACTCTGGATCCAGGGAAGGTAAGTCATTCAAATAGTTGTACCTGCTCAACAAAATTTTGGATGCATCAAAATTAAAAACTAAAATTAAAGCATCAAAATAGATTTCAAAACTAGAATTCAAAACTAAAAAATATAACACCTACTATGAGGCAATTTGGGACCCCAAAAGACTCATCTTTTATATGCAGAGATGGTCCTGAAATTCAAAACTATTTCCATAGGACCATAATGTGTACGCAGATACATATAAAGCATGTGTGGATTTTTTCCACAATTTTTAGAAGGGCAGTGGAAGTGGGAGTGGAAGTGGAAGTAGAAGTGGGAGTGGGAGTGGGAGTGGGAGTGTGGAGGAGAAAATGGGAACTTTGTTGGCGTATCTGAAAATTATATCACGACATCATAATTACAGGAGAAAATGATCAAATTTGAAAACAAACTTAATAAATGAAAGAGGAAAACCCTTGCAACCTGAGAATTCAAACGATGGTTGGCTATAAGATGAATAAATGTAATGAGATTCTCATTAGTAACACGTATGCTTTTCCCTCCAGGAAGCAACTCTGCTTCTGTTTGCTCTCCATATTCATTGTTCACAATAACAAAGTACAATTCCAACTTTGAAGTATCACCTTCATAATGCTGTACATCAAACAAAAGATAAATAAATAAATCAATAAATAACACGAAATTACACAGAACCACCCGACTGGCCATGAAATTGAGCCACAAAACAACAAAAGGTGATTATTCTAATTTCATCCTACCATTTGTGTACACTTCATTTTCTTCAGTGATTATTCTACGGGAGATTTTCTTGCCTTGTAAAATGCAATGGAAAACTGAAACTTTTCCATTTGCATGGACATCCAAAGATGTCAAAAAATTTGTTTGGTTGACAAGAAGATAATATATACAGATTCAGTTATAACTTCTGGTTGGATAGGCAATAACAATGTTCAAACAATTCATCTCTTAGCTTCATTAATTTTGCAAATCAATGAAGCATAAGATTTCACTAAAAACTATTGCTCAAAGAAGAGAGCAAGGGAGAGGGAGAAATATCACCTTTAAGAAAATAAGGTGGCGATATAACTCTGGATCCAGGGAAGGTAAGTCATTCAAATAGTTGTACCTGCTCAACAAAATTTTGGATGCATCAAAATAGATTTCAAAACTAGAATTCAAAACTAAAAAATATAACACCTACTATGAGGCAATTTGGGACCCCAAAAGACTCATCTTTTATATGCAGAGATGGTCCTGAAATTCAAAACTATTTCCATAGGACCATAATGTGTACGCAGATACATATAAAGCATGTGTGGATTTTTTCCACAATTTTTAGAAGGGCAGTGGAAGTGGGAGTGTGGAGGAGAGAGAAAGAAAAGTGATATAAGGTTGATCATCTGCAAGAAATTCTTTTTCCTTTTATTTCTTGTGTTTTTGATAAATAAGAATATACATTGTGAATGCCACATGGGTGCAACCCTACTTTTGCTTTAATTTGCTCAAGAAGAACGTTGCAAATGGTATATCAACAAGAATCCCTTCAAACATCACCTGCAGTGATTACAAAGAGATATAATGTCCCACTGTAAAGCACCATAAGAGAACAAATATAGACAGCACAGAGAACAATTCCACTGTCATTGTTTCTATATAATGTCCCACTGTAAAGCACCATAAGAGAACAAATATAGACAGCACAGAGAACAATTCCACTGTCATTGTTTCTATATAATGTCCCACTGTAAAGCACCATAAGAGAACAAATATAGACAGCACAGAGAACAATTCCACTGTCATTGTTTCTATATAATGTCCCACTGTAAAGCACCATAAGAGAACAAATATAGACAGCACAGAGAACAATTCCACTGTCATTGTTTCTATATAATGTCCCACTGTAAAGCACCATAAGAGAACAAATATAGACAGCACAGAGAACAATTCCACTGTCATTGTTTCTATATAATGTCCCACTGTAAAGCACCATAAGAGAACAAATATAGACAGCACAGAGAACAATTCCACTGTCATTGTTTCTATATAATGTCCCACTGTAAAGCACCATAAGAGAACAAATATAGACAGCACAGAGAACAATTCCACTGTCATTGTTTCTATATAATGTCCCACTGTAAAGCACCATAAGAGAACAAATATAGACAGCACAGAGAACAATTCCACTGTCATTGTTTCTATATAATGTCCCACTGTAAAGCACCATAAGAGAACAAATATAGACAGCACAGAGAACAATTCCACTGTCATTGTTTCTATATAATGTCCCACTGTAAAGCACCATAAGAGAACAAATATAGACAGCACAGAGAACAATTCCACTGTCATTGTTTCTATATAATGTCCCACTGTAAAGCACCATAAGAGAACAAATATAGACAGCACAGAGAACAATTCCACTGTCATTGTTTCTATATAATGTCCCACTGTAAAGCACCATAAGAGAACAAATATAGACAGCACAGAGAACAATTCCACTGTCATTGTTTCTATATAATGTCCCACTGTAAAGCACCATAAGAGAACAAATATAGACAGCACAGAGAACAATTCCACTGTCATTGTTTCTATATAATGTCCCACTGTAAAGCACCATAAGAGAACAAATATAGACAGCACAGAGAACAATTCCACTGTCATTGTTTCTATATAATGTCCCACTGTAAAGCACCATAAGAGAACAAATATAGACAGCACAGAGAACAATTCCACTGTCATTGTTTCTATATAATGTCCCACTGTAAAGCACCATAAGAGAACAAATATAGACAGCACAGAGAACAATTCCACTGTCATTGTTTCTATATAATGTCCCACTGTAAAGCACCATAAGAGAACAAATATAGACAGCACAGAGAACAATTCCACTGTCATTGTTTCTATATAATGTCCCACTGTAAAGCACCATAAGAGAACAAATATAGACAGCACAGAGAACAATTCCACTGTCATTGTTTCTATATAATGTCCCACTGTAAAGCACCATAAGAGAACAAATATAGACAGCACAGAGAACAATTCCACTGTCATTGTTTCTATATAATGTCCCACTGTAAAGCACCATAAGAGAACAAATATAGACAGCACAGAGAACAATTCCACTGTCATTGTTTCTATATAATGTCCCACTGTAAAGCACCATAAGAGAACAAATATAGACAGCACAGAGAACAATTCCACTGTCATTGTTTCTATATAATGTCCCACTGTAAAGCACCATAAGAGAACAAATATAGACAGCACAGAGAACAATTCCACTGTCATTGTTTCTATATAATGTCCCACTGTAAAGCACCATAAGAGAACAAATATAGACAGCACAGAGAACAATTCCACTGTCATTGTTTCTATATAATGTCCCACTGTAAAGCACCATAAGAGAACAAATATAGACAGCACAGAGAACAATTCCACTGTCATTGTTTCTATATAATGTCCCACTGTAAAGCACCATAAGAGAACAAATATAGACAGCACAGAGAACAATTCCACTGTCATTGTTTCTATATAATGTCCCACTGTAAAGCACCATAAGAGAACAAATATAGACAGCACAGAGAACAATTCCACTGTCATTGTTTCTATATAATGTCCCACTGTAAAGCACCATAAGAGAACAAATATAGACAGCACAGAGAACAATTCCACTGTCATTGTTTCTATATAATGTCCCACTGTAAAGCACCATAAGAGAACAAATATAGACAGCACAGAGAACAATTCCACTGTCATTGTTTCTATATAATGTCCCACTGTAAAGCACCATAAGAGAACAAATATAGACAGCACAGAGAACAATTCCACTGTCATTGTTTCTATATAATGTCCCACTGTAAAGCACCATAAGAGAACAAATATAGACAGCACAGAGAACAATTCCACTGTCATTGTTTCTATATAATGTCCCACTGTAAAGCACCATAAGAGAACAAATATAGACAGCACAGAGAACAATTCCACTGTCATTGTTTCTATATAATGTCCCACTGTAAAGCACCATAAGAGAACAAATATAGACAGCACAGAGAACAATTCCACTGTCATTGTTTCTATATAATGTCCCACTGTAAAGCACCATAAGAGAACAAATATAGACAGCACAGAGAACAATTCCACTGTCATTGTTTCTATATAATGTCCCACTGTAAAGCACCATAAGAGAACAAATATAGACAGCACAGAGAACAATTCCACTGTCATTGTTTCTATATAATGTCCCACTGTAAAGCACCATAAGAGAACAAATATAGACAGCACAGAGAACAATTCCACTGTCATTGTTTCTATATAATGTCCCACTGTAAAGCACCATAAGAGAACAAATATAGACAGCACAGAGAACAATTCCACTGTCATTGTTTCTATATAATGTCCCACTGTAAAGCACCATAAGAGAACAAATATAGACAGCACAGAGAACAATTCCACTGTCATTGTTTCTATATAATGTCCCACTGTAAAGCACCATAAGAGAACAAATATAGACAGCACAGAGAACAATTCCACTGTCATTGTTTCTATATAATGTCCCACTGTAAAGCACCATAAGAGAACAAATATAGACAGCACAGAGAACAATTCCACTGTCATTGTTTCTATATAATGTCCCACTGTAAAGCACCATAAGAGAACAAATATAGACAGCACAGAGAACAATTCCACTGTCATTGTTTCTATATAATGTCCCACTGTAAAGCACCATAAGAGAACAAATATAGACAGCACAGAGAACAATTCCACTGTCATTGTTTCTATATAATGTCCCACTGTAAAGCACCATAAGAGAACAAATATAGACAGCACAGAGAACAATTCCACTGTCATTGTTTCTATATAATGTCCCACTGTAAAGCACCATAAGAGAACAAATATAGACAGCACAGAGAACAATTCCACTGTCATTGTTTCTATATAATGTCCCACTGTAAAGCACCATAAGAGAACAAATATAGACAGCACAGAGAACAATTCCACTGTCATTGTTTCTATATAATGTCCCACTGTAAAGCACCATAAGAGAACAAATATAGACAGCACAGAGAACAATTCCACTGTCATTGTTTCTATATAATGTCCCACTGTAAAGCACCATAAGAGAACAAATATAGACAGCACAGAGAACAATTCCACTGTCATTGTTTCTATATAATGTCCCACTGTAAAGCACCATAAGAGAACAAATATAGACAGCACAGAGAACAATTCCACTGTCATTGTTTCTATATAATGTCCCACTGTAAAGCACCATAAGAGAACAAATATAGACAGC